TGTAATCAAAAGTTTTCTAAACACAAAACACAATTCATTTGACAAAGTGAGATCCCTCCTAAACCACCATTATAAAGATTGACTTAGCAACCAAAGTTAATGGTGATATGACCCTCAGTTTAATGTATTTTGTCATTTTCTGAAGTAGTTTGTTTTCTTTCTGGCCTTTTACTTATTTGTGTGTGGCCTTTTACTTATGTGTTGTGGCTAAGGGGATTTAAGGGTGCCTGCAAGTAAGAAAATAAAAATCCCATTTGGCAAATTCCTTTCATAGATGAGACAGCACTTTGAAAACTATTAGGGTAGGTTTTAACCATCTTATCTTCCTCCTCAATCTTAGATTGCCCAGACCTAGGTTGTTATAACACTACCTCAGGTCAAAGCCTATTTCAAGGTGGGTTTCTCTTAGAGAAATTAATTTGTTTCTGGAAAACCCATGAGACTTGCTTTACTCAGAGTCTGAGGGTTTCATCAGCATGGCTTTCTTATGTTCTTTTTTTCAAGTTTTTATTTGATTCCTGCTACTGACATGACAAATTTATCAGAGGTTTACCCTGTAATTCTGGATATAAGTCAGACATTTGAGATTTGAGCACTGGAGGAAAAGGGGTTCTTAATCACCTATGTTCAATGTATGTCAGAGGTGATTGAATAACTTAAATGGTACCGAAGGACTAGCAGGAAGTTCATCTTTGTGAAGCATTCATTAGTAATAAGTTGCAAGGATGCCACTGAGAACATTTAATTCAATAAGGGAACTTAGTTTTGTGGATGTCAAGGATTTCACAATTTGAATTTTATCTTGAATGCAATAACACAAAGCTCCTTGACAAGTGTGTAGCAACCTGAATGGCCGGAGTAGAATGAATCATGAAATGCTGTGATACCTGAATGAACAAACAAATGCAGTATGTTAAGAGAAAAAAGCCTAAAATCTGAAAATTAAAAGATGGGATAGTCCTTTAATGTCATCCTGGGCCAATTCAATAAGACCACTCAACAATCACTTAATTTTCTAGAAGAATGCACTTGCCGTTTTATTTTATTTTTTTTTTTTTACTAGTTCATTAGACTTTAAATATAGTGAAGTTTCATGTTGACTTACAAATGCTTGTCTAGTAGAAAATGTGTAACTCTCATACTCTATTAGGATAACAACTGATTTTATGTCTACCTATACATTTTCTTTTCTCCCTGTGACCTGACATTTTTTATTGATGGAACCAAGATAATAACACCTCCATGGAGGGTAGTAGTGAGAATTTTTTAATACTTTTTAAATTTATTATTTCTTGTTAGAAATATTTTTTTTTATTTATGTCTGTGTACATGAACTGGGGTGTAGGCCAGAGGTATGGGGTTAGAGGATTCACCAGAGACAGAGTGGGGAATAGAACAGGTAGGTTTACTGAAGTACATTGTTAAGGGAAGCAGCAGGTAAGACAGGAGAGGTCTGCAGCACCATGTGTGGTTTGGCTCCCTGGCTAAGGATCAAACTCAGGCCCTAGGGTCATAGAGCTGAGATATAACCCCTAGGCCACCAGGGAGGACCAGTTGTGAGGTTTTGGTTTCTGTACATTTGAGTTAGACCCATGAGGGCTTATGCTACTAAGTATACTGTTGTTAAGACTTTTTGTTTCATGCTAGTGGGCATAGCTGATAATAGGAAGAACATAAACTCCTAGGAACACCATCCAGCCTTACTAGCAGAAGCTAATCTTACTGTGGCATTACTAAGTTGTAATTATTCAGCATCAGATCATGAACTTTTTTAGGACAACATATGGAGAAGTTCAGTTAAGCCAAGATGATCTTTGAAATCTCCATTTGGAACTGAGAGATCCTAGATTTCAAACCATATGCTATAGTTTGTACTTTTGGGTACATTTGATGTCTTTACCTTTTGTAATAAAATGGGGATTTTAGAGGGTTATATGTAGGAAATAAGTGTTCAGTAGACACAGCTATATTTCTATTAGGTTGTTTCAGTGGACAGACAGGACACAAACATTTTTAGAGGGTGAAAAATATATCATTTATGCTGAGATTTTCAATGTAAATAATAATAAAAAATGATAGTTTTCTCCTCTGGCTCTCTAAATATCCAGCCATATGTAACTCTATATCCTAATATTTATATGTAAGCATGCATATGCATTTTAATGTTGTACATATATCTATGCAAATCAAAATAATATCAGTGTTACCACTAATACTATTAGCTACTAGTTAATCTTATAATGATTTGTATGAGTAAGCACATATGAGTAAGATTTGTGCCTACTTTTACCAACTAAGTACCAGGATTCTAGTACAGTGCCAGGTATATTGTAGGTGGTTAATACATATTAATAGAGGGTTTTCTATTAATGATTTCACATAATACAGTGGCTTGTCACACTTTAGAATCATTTGGAAAGCCTGCGTTTATTTACCTTATTAATAAACTTCTTTCTCAACAAAACCATAGAACTATGTACCTTTCCAATTATTGATACCATTATATACTAGGAAGTGTGAAATCTGTGAAACAACAATTATACAAGCAAAAATTACAAATCAGTCTCACTGTTAATACTATTAATGAGTATAAAATTATAAATTAAAATTTTAACAAATTAAGCTATTCTGAACTTTATAAAACAAAGTCAATAAGACAACAATGAATTTAAAGTTATTCCATAATGCCAAAATGGATGAGCATTGGAAAAATTACTGAAGTGACTGGCTTCAAAAGGGATTCAGTACCAATTTCCAATGTATGAAAAGGGAATTTCCTCAGCCATGCAACACTTTCTGACAGCAATTGGATGTCCTTTACAATTCAACTCAATTCTGACACCATCAACCCAGAGGTAACATTGGATTTCACAGCCTGAAAGCTCAGTCTCATAAGGCTGATCCCATCTCCCCATTCAGAGAGCAGTGACAATCTCAGGTAGCTGTCACTTGTGCTTCTTATCAATTGACTAGAACCTCTAAGGATACCCTTCTTGGGGTTCAGGTGCCAATTTCAAGTCTAGGTTGTGATATATGCTAGTTCCCAATAAGACCCAAGGTTCCCATGACACAATCCTTGGGTCTGCTTAATTTGCTAGAATGACTTACAGTACTGAAAGACATATTTGGTTTACTAAATTATGAGTATATTGGAAATAACGTAACACAAGAAGTTAGATGGAAGAGATGCATAAAACAAGGTATGTGTAAAGGTCATGGAACCTTCACACTCTCCCCAAATGCACCATATTTGTATTTGCATCTTTGCATTATCTCACCTGGAAGGTCTATGAGCCTTGTCTTTCCAGAAGTTTCATGGAATTTCATTACTTAGACATGATTGATTGAACCACTGGCAATTGGCAAATGGTTCAAATCCAATCCCTTTCCCACCCAGGAGGGAGGCATGAATGGAACTGAATATTCCAAATTTCTAATCACTTTATTGATTCTTCTGACAACCAGACCCCAATCCTATGTGTGACCCAGAAGTCACCTTATCAACGTAATAATGCTGCTGTTATCTGTAAGGAAATACCAAAGTTTTGCGAGTTCTGTGCCAGACATAAGGATAAAGTCCATATATTTGTTATATTATAAATCACAATATTACAGCCTCTCTTGATGGGAAAATACAGGCAACAATAATTAATATAAACTCAGAGAGGGTGCCTCTTTAGTTTGCATAGACTTTTTTCTCAACTTAAACATGAATTTATAATATTCACGATGTATTTATGTACAATATCAAAACATATATGTATTCAAATATATATGTATATATATGCACACACCATATGTATACACCATACACATATATATACATATACACACATATACCTATGTACACACATATATATGCATACATACATGCATATATGGTATATATACCTATGCATACATACATACATGCATACATATGGTATATATACCATAAAAGTTGACACTCAGTGCTCTCCCTGGTGGAACAGTGAACCTTCCAAAGCCACTGCATTATGAACCTTCCAAAGCCACTGCAGCACTATTTCAATACCTGACCAGGGAGGTGACCCACATGGCATGGCAGACCTCTCCTGTCTGATCCACTGCTTCCCTCAGCAGTATACTTTGTCAAACTGCCTGTTGTGCTCCCCACTCTGTCTCTGGTGAATCCTCTTACCCATCATACCTCTGGCCTGTAGCTCAGTTCTGTAAGCATAAATAAATAAGTGTTTAAAAAAAAAAAAAGTTGACACTAAATTTTGCTTAAAAATAGATTTGTCTAGCTATGACCTATTTGTTAAAGAGTTCTCTTTTTTCTATCACACTTTGTAAAGATAGGCACCAAACATTTAACTATAGTTTTTTAGCTTGCAAGATTATGCATCAGTTATATTTTCTTATTTTTACTTAATAGTATTTCATCTTTAATGGGGGAATATGTTATTGTAAAAATTAAATCATCTGAACCACAATGTAATAGGAGGGTTTGGAAATTCCACTCTGCTAATCAAAACTGAAAGGAGAAACTAAACTGAAAACTGTCCAGGGGTTGGGGGGTGGTTAGAAGTTCATCTCCAAAGATGGGAACTTTCCCATGAGGATACCACACTAAAGTTAGTGACTTGATGTAAGGACAAGGCAAATTTTTTTTAGAAAAAAAAATCTACTAGGTTTTATTCATGCTTTTGATAAACCTGAAATAATAATAAAATATTTTGTTAGCTATGTTAGAAAAAAAATACAAAAATAAAGCAAATGTTTTTTAACTCATTTTCAGAAGCACTTATTATGACAATCAAGATACCGTGAATGGTGCAACCATTCAACCTATCTGAATAAGCCAGCCTATCTGAATATCCATTATGTACTGGAAACAGGGTTTCATTCTATCGAAATCCCTCTTTTTTCATTCTTCTCCACACTGCTCTCAGACATGATCCCAGTGCTCACTTTTTTACCATTTATCTAACATGTGTCTATTTGGTCCGTAGCTTTAGAGTTTTAGTCACTCTACTCACCAACTCTTCGGTTGAGTTGAGCTGGGCTGTGAGTACCAGTGATATCTGAGGAGCTAGAAAAAACCATTGGAGACAGCACAGATGTCAATGGGTCATCACAGTTGTCTGAAATGATAGGAAAAAGAACAAAGTCCATCAGCAAGAGATCTCCCATAAAGAAAGGAATCACAGTACTAGCCACCATCATTCATTAACTAGTGAGTGATGGCTCTGAACAGGTGAACACTGCTTTTTTATGTGGGTTATTTCATCTACCTTTACAATCAACTTGAGAGTTAGGTATTCATTTCTCTCACAGTTGAAGAAACTGAAGTTCAGAGAGGTTACATTGTTTGCCCAAGGTCACAACACCAAGAAATTGTGTGAACAGAATTCTCACTCAGATCTGTTTAACTCCAGACATCATGACCTATTTCTTCTTTAGTCAACCACCTTGAACAAACCCTCAAGTTATTTCTACTGAACTTATTTTATAAGGAAACAGCCTATAAAAGGGGCTAATGATGTTTATTCTCCTACAGTTAGTCTCTAAGCTTCTTACAGTAGTTTTGGGCAGTAGAATAGAATAATTTAGCAAGTCTCACTCCTTGTTGATGGAAAGTCTTTGGAAGATGAGTTACTGAGTCTAAAAAGTCATTTCTATGCCAGAAAATAACAGAGAATGTTCCCTGATTCTGCACCATTTTGAACATGACATTTCAGCATCTACCCTTTTAAACTTCCCTAAGTGGATCATGTATTTCCTAATGCTTCCTGGATGCTCTGCAAATATGGACAAGATAGGGTAACAGGCATAGATTCTGGTTTGATAACAGACCTCTTTCTCCAGATTAACACTGATGCCCTTTCCATTCCATCTCATGTAAAAGACCCTACTTTTCTTATCATATGTGGATCACCTCAGTGCTCAGAAATCAACAGTTCCTTCATTTGTTTGCATCTTTCATACATAGTGAAGTCTTTGTGAACTCTTAGCAAACAATCTTATATAATAGATCTTCAGTAAAGATTTGTGAGAGAAAAGGAAGGTGGGGAAAGGAAAGTAGGTTGGAAACACTGAAGGGATCAATTAGTACACTAATAATACCAACAATTTTCCCTTCTATGTTTCTACAATGATGTACAATTGATCTTCCAGAAATTATGAAATTTAGACATATATCATCAAACAAAATTGAAATGTGTCATTAAGTTGAAGGTAAAATTCATATAGAAGACACCTTCAGGAAGACTTGGTTTGATTTTCTCTTAAAGAAAATACACATTGGATTATGAGGTTGCTCGTTTTTGCATTGCATTCTTAGAGGGCATTATTCATCTAATTGGAAGAAAATTAATGAGAAGCATATGGATTAAAGTTGTGTTTGTTAAATGTGTTAAAAATCAACTGGCAAACTGTACTTAGAGTTTTTCCCAAACACAAATGTTTGAAAAATATTTTGAGGTATTTGACAAACACAAAACAGATCCAGATCTTGACTAGAGAAGAGTAACAAGACCACAGCTAAGGCACCACTGCAGTAAGGGTCATTCAGGCCACTAGACTCCTAGCATCAGATGTAGTTGAGAAGAGGCACATACACACTTTTAAGAACTTGTTTGGCATCAAAATGTATTATACTATTTATAAATCAGGAAGCAATTTGAGCTTAATGATAGTTTTATGTGTTTCTATGCCTGCTTATTTATCAGGACACATCAGGTAAATGCAGAAAATTGAATAAGAAGTATACATTACACACATACACATACACACACACATAGGCATACACCCCAAACTCTATAGTCCTCACAATTGGCATCCGTATTCAAACCTCACTTAGCCACATCTGTAGTTTCGACTATCTTTTGATTTCAAATAACATCATTTCCCAGTAATACAACTCTTCTGACATCCACTTCTGCAAGGAATCTAAGTTTTGAAGGTAAGATGATAGCATGTATACTAGATAGCATGTATGTAATTCAATATATAGCATATTGTCACTTTTAAGATGTTGTGAGTTTTGATGTGTCACTGTTTTTTTTAATATTGTGTCTTAACCTTATTTCTTTTCCCCTAAACAAAAATAGAAGTCATCTAAACATTTCAATTTAACTCAGTTGATAATTATTTATAAAATTTATTTTATGCTTGACCTTGAATAAGCACTAGGGATAAAATATGGGTAAAATTGAGTCTTAGATCTTAAGGGGCTCAGAGACAATTGCAAAATATAAAAATGAAGCAAATAACTAACCTATGGAATATTTAGGAAAGGTTCACCAAGGTCACATTCAAGCATGTAAAATGGCAACCAACTGTCTAGCAGTTCAGACAAGGGACATTTCCTCCTCTCCAGCCTGAGGCACTCCTCCTTCACAGTCAGTGGCCTCAGGGAGAAGAAGGCTTCCAAAGGCCACTGGCAAGTTAACACCAGCTAATAAGTTCTGTTCAAAAATAGTATTTCTTGCACAGGTTTTCCTACTTTCCTAAAGTGTTTTGTAACATTATGAAATTTCGCACGTTGAAGTGGAGTAAAGAAGTCATTACCATTAATTTATGTGGAAATGTTTTGGACATTGGAAGACTCAAGAAATAAACTACAAAGTAATATCATATAACACATAAAACCTATAATTACACCACTGTAATCAGAAATACTGTGATTAAACACACCATTTGTACTGACTAGTTCTGAGGGGCAGCTGTCAGGCCTGTTCTCAGTGTTTGGGGAGTGTGCTATTGAAAACAAATGTGGAATCCTCAGTGGATTTCTTTTGGTTAATGAAATTAGATATGAAGACAAGTCTTTCATACAAGCAAAGCGGGGCATACTATCTGGAGCCAGCATTTCCAGTTTATAAGTTAGCAAAACCCATTAAATATAATTTGTGCTAGTGGAAAGGTGAAAGAAGATTTTTCCTTATTAATTTTTATTTAATAATTTATTATTTTTAATCAAGGTTATAGTTGGCTGCCTAGGACTCTTTTCCTCTGGGCCCTGTACCTTATAGTATTGGCTTCCACAAAACATGCCAGAACTTTTGCTCTCCTTCCCCTATAAGTGATAAGAATGAGAAAATTCATTGCAGAAAGTGAATAACCTCAGCACCCACTAGACAAGTAGCTAGCTGTCTTTGTCATTTCTCGAACAAACTGAAAAATCCTGTCACTTAAACTGAGAACACATTCTAACCAAATTACCTCATCATTGGGAATTAAAATCTTGTTCATATAATAATTCAAAAGTTGCAAGTGTGCATTACTTGCAGAAATGTTTCCTATTCTTAAAATAGAAGGAAAATAATCTAGCACATCTGAGAAAAACAAGTAGATTTTTTTTTTTTTAATTCACATTGGGACAACCTATGAAGGTGGGATGTATCAGGAGAAGAGCTAGGAGAACTGTGTTGTATACTATGTGTACTTCTTCTCTCGACTTGGTGATTGTAGATGACTCATGTCAATGCACTATTTTAATTGATCTCCATTGTCTGAAAAATGAAGAGTCATCTCTGACATATCCAACCAGAGACATTTTATTTTCTTTGTTTTAAAGATTAATCTTATTTCTTTACGCATACAAAAACTGGGGTATAGGCTAGAGGCGTGTGTGGTGGGGAGGGGTGAAAGGATTCACTCACTAGAGACCAAGTGGGAGCACAACAGGCGGATCTACTGAAATACAGTGGGTGAGAGAGGAGAGGTCTACTTTGCCATTGGGGTCAGTTCCCTGGTCTGGGATTGAACTTGTGCTGCAGTGGTTGTGGGTAGCTTCACAGTGCTGAAACTTTATCCCTTGTACACCAGGGAAGTCACACAGAGTCATTTTAAAGTAAGAATGAGAATAGATGGAAAAAAGTCCATATTTTTATAAGCACAGAATGAACATGCATCCGTATATAAAAATATTGTTTTATGGTATCTGTAGTAATCAAATCCAATTGGGACAACTTTAGGTATCTCATTTCTATGTCACAAAATATGCCTAAAAATTAGTATCACAAGTAGAATTTTTTGCACTAAAGGTTTACAACATGTCAGATGAGAAGGATGTTAGGGAAGGAGTGGGGCATTAAAAACTGAAGAACTGTGGGTAAGTGGAGACATTGCCCGCTCAGCACCCATTCTCTGAGGATTGGCAGCCTTGTGGAGACTGGGCATCACCACCCAAAACATAGGAGTGGAAGGAAGTAAATGAACACCATCTGTTCCACCTTTCCTAGGGGCTTTAAATAAGCAAAACCTTGTTGTATTGCAATTTTAAACTCTGTTCACATCTCGGTCTGCTTATAGTAAGGATGCAGAATAATAAAATCCCAGCTTACACCTTCAAAAATGGGTGTGTATGTGCATCTGTAATTACATGAGAATATATAGAAAAGGTTGAAGAGACCCAGCCAAAGAGATTTCAAGTTAAAAAACAAAAACAAACAAAACAAAACAAAAAACTAACATTCTAAAAGTGTGGTTCCTAATGGACATACTATCTAGATAGACTCCAGTAACTTCCCCAAGAATCATTTTCCAGAAATCAGACTTATTGTGTGGATTCATTGACATACTAAAATATTTAAAAAAAATGTGTTCCCAAAAGATTTGTTGGAAAAAAAAAATA